GGGCCCGCAGTCCGGCCCTCCAATGGTCTGAGGGACAGTGAACTGGCCCCCTGTTTAAAAAGTTTGAGGACTCCTAGTCTAAGGGCTAACTCAGAGACAAAGAGCTTGTGCCAGCCAGGAACAGTGTAGTAATTCCTCCATCTTCTGCCCATGACCTGGAAGACAGTAGTATTTTGTGCTACTGTCCCAGAGGTTTTTTATAGATCAAAGCAGAGATACTAAATCCCAGAAAAATTAGGCAGGAAATGGAGAACAAGACAAGTCTAACTAGAATTCTGAAAATTAATTTCCTTGTAGGTAAGTCACCATAGGCGGGTCAGAAATGGAAATCATAACCCGTGCAGAAATTATACACACATACCTGAAGTCCACAGGGTCTTTTCTGGGACATTAGAAAATTACATGTCAAAGAATGTTTAAAAATATCCATTAATAGAATTTAGGAGAGGCTATTAAAACACTGAAGATAAAATAAAAGTGGTACATAAAGCAAAAAACAAGTCATTGAAATGATAAGGACACATTTTTAAGATAAAACATCGAAATAACAGCAATATGATGAGTGAATCCTGTTTTGGTTTAATACGTTCCATGCTTACACTAAGAACTGATTTGCTGTTAATCTGAAATTCAAATTTAATTGGGTATCCTGTATTTTATCTATACTTCTACTTTCTGTAAAGTTCAGGCCAGTTGTATTGTAGAGTAGCTCACATTCTGGATGTATTGTTTTCTAACGATTTGATTCTGTGAACGTTTTTACAAATGTATTTCATAGGTGGTGTTGCATGTTTCTCTTCCATCACAGTAGGAGGAAGCTATCTAGTAGTTTTATCAGTGAAACTAAGTTTGATTACTGGACGTCGACGGCATCTCTTTAGTTAAAAATACTTTCTTCCTTTTCTGGGGTAATATTCTGAGATCAGGTGAATACCTGTTCCCAATTCTTTTTTGTGCAATGATTTTTAACATTCCTTAGTGATAGTTTCCTGAATCAACAATTACATGGTGGGCTGCAAAATGATTTTCTAACTTTACCAATTCCTTCTACATTTATTATTCGCTGGCCTTCATCTGTAAAGAATAGTGTCCTTTTCCGATGCTCTGTCTCTTTCTCTCTTTTAGTATCACTACATGCTAATGGAATCTTAAAAATTAAATTCTTTATAACCAATTACTTTCCTTATTCTGTTTATTGCTCAGGTTACCCCGGTTTTGGCCAATGGGCAATCAGCTCCCCATTCAAATATGCTCTTATATAATCCCATTTTGTCTTTGAGTGCTTGCTTTCATTCTGTCAGAAAAAGATTTCCCAGGCTGTCCAGGAACAGGAGTCAGCCTTTATTCCAGTGCACCTGTTGTCAGTTTTATGCCTCCCTGTTGCAATTTGTGATACGGCTGGAGTCGGAGCCTCTAAATGCACTTCCTTTGCCAGTTGGCGCTATGGCAAGCCCTGCCAGTAGAGGGCAGTGGAGGCACACTGCAGGAAATGGGCTCCCACGCCGCGCTGACAGCACCCCAGAGGTACTCAGGCTCCAGGTGGTTTCCAGTTCAGCAGTTCTGCCCCAGAGTTTCCTGCTTGCCAGCCAGGGTCGGCTGGCTCCTTGTGGGAAGTGTGCCGTTTGCCAGCTTCGGCCCACTAGCTGTGGACCAGCTCTGATGCAGCCAACACAGCAAACTCCCGTGCCATCCCCGGACTGCCAGACACACCCTTTCCAAAGCTCTGGGGAAAGGGTCCCCCTCTGTACACTGTTCCTTTTGGAGTACTCTCATCCCTACGGCGTCATTAAAGTTCTCTTTATCCTCTCTGCTGAACTCCCTGTTTTTGATTACTAATTCTTCATATTTAATTTTCCCTGTTCAAATTCCTGGTGTGTTTCCTGGCTTCTGAATGAACCCTGACTTAATGGAGACGGTACAGGGAATGGCCATTCAATGGGTCCACCATTCAAAGATGTGATTTTAGAATTAACTTGGTCATGCCCTTGGATTTGAGCCAGTGCTCAGCTGCTTGCCAGTCACGTGGGAGCAACACAATTAGTCCAGCGATCACACGGGGTTGATGGTGAGGAAGGGCCAGCTAAGGCAAGTCCGACGGAGCCCGCGGACAGCTGCGGTCCTCTAAAGATGTTCACAAAGCCTGTGGCATGGGACTGTCTTCTCCTAGAAAGGCTTTCCCCACCTCAGATTGTAAAGTAACTCACCCTGTACTTGTCTAATTTTTTATAGTTTCCTTTAAAATGTATTATCTTTTATTAATTTATAATAGTTGTAAGACATTCTGTGGTCGCATATGACATTTTTGTGTATGTATAGTGTATAATGTTCCAATCAGGGTAATGGAGATTCTATCACCTCAAACATTTGTCTTTATGCTAAGAACACTTGAATTCTTCTCATCTAGTTATTTTGAAAT